TGTTCATCAAAGTGAACCACATCTTATGCTGACCTCACCTGTTTTTAAGTTCATTGCTTCATAGCCTTTGCTGCTGGAGGCATACCAAGTAAAATTGTCTGTACAGTTCCAGTGTCTGCCTTTTCAGCTTTGGTATGTAGGCATAATCTAGGCTTCCAAAGGCTCTAATGTGTTCCACACATGGTACCTTGCCATGTCATCATTCAAATTATGTTTTCGTGGTGCCTTTAGTTGGTAATGTGTTCTGGAGATACATTGCAGTCATGATTGCATCATTCCAGAATGTTGAGGCCAACTCTGGATCTGCAAGCATGCACCTTGTGATCTCCGAAAGAGATGTTTCCTTTCAGCTGTTCCATTCTGCTCAGGAGTATGTGCAACACACCTTCTGTGTAAAATGTTTCCCCCAGGAAGGCTTGCATGTGGTGCAAAAGGTACTCACTACCACTGTCCATCTGAAATGCCTTGGGCTTTCTTTCAGACTTGTTGCTTACCATGGTCTCACATTTCTCCTTCAGGAGATGACAATACCATGAAAAATCTGCATGCTGCCTGTGGTTTGAGTGATTGGGATGGACTTTTGTAGGCCAGGGTGACTGTCAATCAACACTAACCAATTTTCCTTCCTGCCTCTGAATTCAAAGAGAGTCCCACCTCTCCACTGAGTGTTCCTTTCCCTTACTTTAGTCTGTTGGAAGCAGTATGTTGGTTTGCTGTATATCTGTGCACAACTGTAAATAATGAAACATTTTTATTCTCTCTCTTATAAATGTCTCAGAGTGAATTATTGAGACAGTAAGTGCCAATTAAGGAGAAAGGAAGGGACTCGCTAGGGAACTTGCATCTATTCCCTTTTGGGAGTCTGCACTTTTGTTGTGTAGCAAAGGGAATTTTACCAGAAATTCAAACTCTGCAACAAAATCATTCACAATAAAACATATCTGTTGTGTCCTAGTGATGACACATTAAGTGACCATCATTAGGACACAAGTGGCCAGTGACAGAGGTTACTGTGTATTAGATCCAGCATCTTGTTGCTCCTTCTCTCAGTCCTTAGTTGGGCTGACACCTTTTTCTGTGACACAGTTTACGCACCTGGATGTGCTATTTGCATCACATGGATTTAGTCTGATACCTGAAGTAAAGTTGTGATCCAGCTCAAGAATTACCTTTGAATCTTTGTGTGCAAAGCAACTCTGCCAGAGCTCCAGGCAGCTGTCATCCTCCCGCTGGACTTCTGCTGTGTTAGCTTCATGATCTAAAAGACTCAGTTTGTAGACACCATTAGATTTAAAATCTCAAAAATACACTACATTATTTTTTAATTATGCACCCTCCATTGTCAATATGTATGGAAAACCTTTGTCATCTAAGGCAAAAGCCTTTAACATATTGCACTGCAGATCAAGAACATATAAAACATCACTTAAAGTATTGGCACTGATTTCATTGGACAATTCACATTAAAACTCCAGTTCCAATTCCTTAGATATCCCTAGAGCCAACTGCTGGATAGCACATTGGTTTAAGTTCCTGGCTATGTAGCCAGAAGTCAGGAATTTGATTCTGTGGTGAGCCCCCTTGATGGGAGCTGGACTCAACAATCCACAGGGTCCCTTCCAGCTCTACAGCTCTAAGATGATGATTGGTTCTTTGTATATTTCCACCAGCATTCCCATCTAGAGTTAGAAGATTTTTATGTGTGAAGTGGTTGATATACCTTGAATCCATGATCAAATCATTTGATTTTTGTCCATGGAAACACTCTGTTTAAAACCCTTGCTGGACATCTCTTTTCTCTCTCTCGTAGAATCAGTTTTCACATGTTTCCTGTGGTCTTTTGTCTCAGACTGTCTTTACCTGAAAAATCTCTGGGGGATGGACATTTTTGGGCTAGATCACCCTTTCCACCACAATTCCAGCAGCAATCTTATTGGTTTTGAGATGTGGTCCTTTTATAGTTCTTCCCATTCACTAGGTAATATGAACTATTCTGTCTCAGGCGAGTTCCTTTTGTCTATGTATTCCTTTCTGAGACAATTCAGAGTCTTTTCTCTGCTTCCTTGCTTGCCATTCAGAACATATATAAAAGCATAAAATTTTTCACCCAGTGTTGCTGAAAGGAAGCCTGACTTTTGTTTATAATTTAAGTAAAATCCAGTTAGGGTTAAGTTATTAAATATAGTTAGCAAAACAGTTATGTTTTTTTCACTGCCTTTCTTATAATCAAGGCACAAACTCACAAGTTATCTGGTCTAGAAATCATGCAATTAAAAACTGGTAAAGCCATAGGATTTCTCTATGGCATTTAACATCTCTTCAGCAGATTCACATCCAGTTATATATAGCATTTGCTTTCACAGATTCACTACAGAATAATTTTTGTGCCGAATAATTATAGCTTGTGTTTCTGGTTCATCATTCTTTGTACAATCATGCACTTGCAGGGCCCTCAAATTGATCTTCATTCTGGTCTTCCATTGAGAAAAATTAGCAGGGGTTTTTCAGAAAAGCTTCTAATCTGATCAAGAACCACCCTTTTATTTCTGAGTTAGTTTGGTTACTGATCTCAGAGGGGAAAACCCAGTTTCTTTGTTTATTAAAAAGAACAACTTTTTTCCTGCTAGTATGTGATTTAGTCACAGGGAGAGGAAAAAATTGCAATACTTAGAAAACCATAAAACTCAAAAAATGCTGGTTAGCTACACTTTGCTGCAATTTGAATTGCACCCTGTATTACATTTAAAACTGAAGTCAGTGCTCACATGGGGCTGCAGTTTGATTTGGGTGTTCACCGTTCATGCTGGATGCAATGCAATTTGCATTTCAGCTCTCTCACACCCTTCTTTCCTTCCTTCCTCTGGTCCCACCTCTGCTGATCCTTCTATCCTTCTCTGGTCCCACCTCTGCTGATCCTTTTATAGGTCATAAATGACAGAAATAATAATAAAGAGGACTGGGCAATAAGGTGATAGGGTGATGTAGCTCTAATCTCATTTATGTAAGAAAAACAAAGAAAATTCAGAGGGCAATTTGGGGAGAGGAAGGAATGCAGGGGCATGTTCCCTCAGTCCTGAATATCACACCCCAACAGCCTATGCCACCAAAACACCACCTACAGGCATGTCCCCCATATTTACAAGAACATATCACAACTAACCACATGGATAAAAGCCTGCTGAAAAAGGAGAAGCTCCCCAGCAGATGAAAAAAAAAGTCACTTTGGGAGCAAAAAGGACTGGACCGATTCAAATCAGTCTTTGCATCCTGTGGGCAATAAAAATACTTAATATTCACCCATGTTATGAGCAGAGCAAATTCCATGGCATTTGACCATATAGTCTCAGCCTTAAGAGTTACAATCTGCAGTTGCACTCAGAGGGAAGAAAAGGAAACTATAGGCCTTGTGACAAAGAGATCCATCCATGCTTGCTGCATGGTTAGGAGAGAAAGGGAGCTATCAATAGATCAAACAATAGAAGTGACCAAAACAGGAAGAAGAACTTTACTACTAGATTTGTGGCAAAGGACAATCATCTAAAGTGGTGAAATCCCCTCCCACTGATACCCATTGTTAACACAAGCAAGTTTGTCATTATGTCAACACTTTTTTCACCTTATGTACACTGGAAACAGATGTGTGCCAAAATGGCCACTTTTAGCACTCCGCCATGTAGCTTTCAACATCTCTCCATGCACAATTCAGTATGTTCTTACACAGCAAATGGCTGCCAGCTTTTATCCTCAACTAATTAAGGGTAACTTCATCAAAAAATGGCAATAACACAGAATTTAATTTGTTTTGAAAATGACATTTCTTCAGGGGTCTAAAACCTGGTGCCATTCTCAGTGCTGAGCTTAAAACCTCTCTCATTTTGATAAATTATGAAGCACACTGTTTTATATATTATACATCGTAATGCAATAGAACACAATGCATTAATTATGGCATTTTATCCTGGTGCCTTTTCTTCACACAGTCATTTTATTAAGGTCATTTCAGATATTATGCAACAATAAACTCAGACTTGCCATACTGAGCAGAGAGCGCCATAGAACTCGGCTGCCCCAGTTGCCAGGTGAATACAACTGTATGGTACATGGGTGTCCAGACAGACACACGCCATGGTCTCAATTGTGTGTACAAGCAGGCAAAGTATATACTTAATGCATCATGGGAATGGCAAGACCAATAGCTGAGCCATCAACCAATGTGCTGCTGTGCAATGCTGCCAAGACTAAAACTGCCCTTTGATGGTATCTCATATATGAAAAATCTTTATTGGAGTGGTGGCATTCCAGCAAGAAATTCTGTCCCTTGAGGCTGTTGTTAAGGGTAAACATAGATATCCACGGGGTGGGGGGTTCTTGGGCAAGTGATAAGGACTGTATGCACAAAGGTGTTTTTGGAACATAAAATAAAAATCATTATATATAGGCAGATTATACCCAGGGCAGGTAAGGGATGCCCCTTCCTAAAATAGCAGGGTGAAATGGCACACACCCCAGCTTGAACCGCATGGCAACTACTACCCTTTCTTCAGACATGGAGCTTACTACTATAATTGCACATGCACACATTTATTGGAGACACTATAGCAACGTAAGAGCCCAAGGGTCAAACTATACATTACAACTTGCCTAACCTTACAAGCTGAAATCATGTTAGTGGTTTTATGAACATAATTTTGGCAAACGTCCATGCCTGAGCAATCACATTTGCAAACAAACCCAGAGATAATTTTGGCAAACGTCCATGCCTGAGCACATTTGCAAACAAACCCAGAACTTAACCTGCTGACAACCAAGAACACAACAAAGCAAGCTAATTCGCAAAGTATGACAACCAAGAACACAACAAAGCAAGCTAATTTGCAAAGTATGAAAAGTGTGAAAAGCTTCTGCTGTGACAATCAGACCATCTTTCAGTGCTTAAAGAAGCACCAAAGTGTGAAAAGCTTCTGCTGTGACAATCAGACCATCTTAAAGAAGCACCGCTTTTCTAATGGCATGCTATCTATAACATACAATTTAACATCACTGCATTAGCCCTTTTAATCTTATATATATCTTCACCACTTCAAACACTCAACCTACCACAAAATCTATTCAAAAACAAGACACATAGGATGTAACATAAGTTTCATTTGGAGTGCTTTACATTTCATACTGTTCTCTCCAGCTAGAATATGGTAATCTGGTCCACAGACATGGTCTTGGAATAAAAAAATGAAGTAATGTAGGCTTAAAAGTTCAATGCATGCTGCACACAGAGTAGTAATAACAAGGACTGGCTTTGCTGTTCTTCGTTCACTGTTTTTGATAGGAGGGGCTCAGCAGATTGCAACCACAATTCCAGCCACTCCAGGCTAATAGGAAATCTTCTATGCAGGGTGGGGAGATGCAGCTCTCCTCTCTCACTCCTTCAAATTACAGACTCCAAAACCGAAGATGATTAATACAAATACCTTTCCATGATCACAACCTTTTTCTCCCCATTACAGTAAATGGCAAGAAAATGTCCCTTCACTTGTATGGAGCAGGGGAAAGGAGCTTCTGTTGGAGAAACCAAACATCCCTCCTCCATCCCAGATTCTGCTTCTCCAAAGAGAAAGTGTGGAATACATCCTCTGCCTGTCACTCAGTTCAGTCGTATAGAACGTAAACTAACATCAGGGGAAAACCCCACAGAAATGTTATTTCCCCTGTTGCATATATTATGCTCTTATTGCATATAGTAAAATGCAGAGAAGATGGGGGAAGGAAAATGGGCAGAATTAATCTTCACATGGATGGCAAAAAGCACTCGAGCCCCTCCTTTTCCCCCTAGTTAGCCACAAGTGAACATTGAGTTTCACCACAACCAAATCTGTTTTTCAGAGCTGTACATCCACAAACAAGCCTGCCATGATACGACACAATTTTTGGGGAAAAAAAGTGTGACATTACACACTACAGTTCTAGATACAGAGCTTCCCTCACTCGAAGGCAACAGTTCAAAGGCTGGAAATAATTTAGCAGCAAAGGATGTATTACTGGGCAGGAAACTCCTGGACACAGTCTCAGCCAGAGGTGTCCAAAGCCCATGCAGCCGACACCTAATCCCACTGCTTGGCTTGGTCTACCGCTGTTTCTAGACGAGATAATATCCTCATAGGGCAGCTGCTGAAACTAATTTTTCTCACCTCGAGGAAGGTATTGATAACAGATACACAACCAGTGCTCCTGTGTGACTGTACGAGAGAATAAAGCAACTGATTACAGAAGCTAATGAGGCAAAGCAAATGAGGAATCCAAATCAGCAGCCGTTTTCCTTCAAGAAGCACAAGTAATTTCCATCCAGGCAGATGAGCGTTTCTGTGATCCCTTCACTTCTAAAGCATGGAAACGACTGGCTAGCTGGCTGACTGCCATTGGAAGCTACACAGCTGAGAGCCAGCCGGCTGCTCTGAGCTCGACAGAGCTGTAGAGACCCTCCCAGGCCTTCCTCACATCCCAAGAGCGAGCCGATCACACTTCTGTCAACAATTTATTCTCTTTATAAGCCTGGTTGGTGGTTGGAATCCAGTTAGCATATTTCAAGGATTCTACCTCCTCTGCATCCAGGAAGTCAGACTTGCTGAGAGACTGGTTGCAGCTGACCTCCTTTTTGGACTCAGAGAAGGGAGACTGCTGCTGGCCACAAGTGACATGAGAATACTGGGACTGCTCTTCTTGGTCCGTCTCTCGGTGGTAGAAGTAATTGAAGTTGGATACAATGACAGGGACCGGAAGGGCAATTGTCAGCACACCAGCGATGGCACACAATGACCCAACAATCTTGCCCCCAATAGTCATAGGATACATGTCTCCATAGCCAACAGTGGTCATGGACACTACTGCCCACCAGAAGGCATCAGGGATGCTCGTGAACAAAGAGTCAGGGTCATCAGTCTCAGCGAAATACACAGCGCTGGAGAACAGAATCACTCCAATGAAAAGGAAGAAGATCAGCAGCCCCAGTTCCCTCATGCTGGCTTGCAGGGTCTTTCCAAGGATCTGCAGCCCCTTGGAATGCCTGGAGAGCTTGAAGATCCGGAAGACCCGGACCAGGCGGATGACCCTCAGGATGGCTAAAGACATGGCTTGCTGTTGCCCTCCATTGCCGGTGCTGCCCGGCTGCTCCTTCTTCTGTTGCTCTTGTGCCAATTCAGTGCCCAAAGTGATGAAGTAAGGGATGATGGCGACAATGTCAATGATGTTCATGATGTTCCTGGAGAACTCAGGCTTGCTGGGGCAGGCAAAGAAGCGGACCAGCAGCTCAAATGAGAACCAGATGATGCAAAGCGTTTCAATGAGGAAGAAAGGGTCAGTGAAAAATGGACTGGCACCCATCTGGGGTGGAACAGGTGTTGGAGTCCCTCTGCCAGGCTGATGGGGGACTAAGAAAAAGAGGTCCTCCTCCTGGAGGTTCTCTTGAAAGCCCATTTGGCTGCTATCTCCGTAATTCACAGATGGCCCTTTACTCTCCTGGCGAAATTCAGGCAAGGTCTCCAGGCAGAAGATGACAATAGAGATGAGGATGACTAAAACCGAGACGATGGCGATACCCCTCGCGGGGCCAGAGCTCTCCGGGTACTCAAAGAGCAGCCACACCTGGCGCTGGAAGTGCTGCTGGGGCAGGGGTTTCTCTTCCTCCTGAATGAAGCCTTCGTCCTCTCGGAAGGTCTCGATGGCCTCCTGGCCCAGCTGATAAAAGCGGATCTCCTCCATGAAGATGTCCAAGGGCACATGGACGGGTCTGCGAAGCCTCCCGCCGGACTGGTAGTAATAAAGGATGGCATCAAAACTGGGCCGGTTGCGATCGAAGAAGTATTCGTTCCGCAGCGGGTCGAAGTAGCGCACCCGGCGGCTCGGGTCGCCCAGCAGCGTGTCCGGAAAGACGGCCAAGGTGCGCAGCTGCGTCTCGAAGCGCAGCCCGGAGATGTTGATCACCAGGCGCTCGCTACTACAGCAGCAGCTGCTGCTTCTCTCCTCCTCCTCCTCGGCTCGCGCCGGCTCGTCCTCCGGCGCCTCTCCGCGGCCACCAGCGAGAGCCTGGGGAGCGGCCATGGGCATGGGCATGGGCATGGGCGGCGGCGGCGGCGGCGGCGACAGAGGCAGAGGCGACTCCTCCGCCCCTCGCATCCCCAAAGGCGCCACAGGCAGGCGAGGTAGTGCTCCGAAGCGCCGGGAACGAGCCCAGCCTGCCGGCCCCCCTTGGGGGAAAAAAGGGAGGAGGCGGGGAGCCCCGTCGAGCTTGGCCGAGGTCTTCTTCCAGGAAGCGGGGCCGCTGCTTCCAGCCGACCTTCGCTCTCCTTCAGAAGGCTCTGCCCGCCCTGCCTGCCCGCCTGCCCGCGTCCCCGCGCCCGTCCTCCGCGGGCTCACCTTTCAGGCGCGGGAGGGCTCCGCTCGCCTGCCCGCCGCCGCGCCCCTCCTTCTCGCTTCTCTCAGCGCCGGCTTCTCCACCGGCTCCCTCGGCTTGCGCTTCCTTGGCCCACAGCTGCCTTCCCGGAGCCCGCGGCGGGAGCCCAGCCGGCCGTCTAGCCTTCCGAACGCGCGGCGCCTCGCCCGCCCAGCGGTTCCCCTCCTCCTGTTGCTTCGCTCCGCTTCGCCCCGCTCTGCTTTCGGCTCGTTCACGGGCGGTGCGTGCCCGGCGCTGGCGCTGGCGCTGGCGCTTGCTCAATGCCGGGCGCCTCTGCCCCTCCTCTCGCGCTCTCTCGCTCTCGCCCCCAGCCCGGCTCAGCCACCCCGCTCTGCATTATCTCTATAGCCCGCACCCAACTCGCTTGCCCTCCGTGTCCCTAGTGTCTGTTTCCCCCTTTGCCTCTTGGACCCCTCTGTGGCAAAAGAGGGGGGGGGACATCGAGAAGGCCCGAGAGACCATCTTGTCTGCTCCCCCAAAACACCCGAACAAAACCGCCGACCGCGTGGTGCTATCCACGGACGGGGCGCTCGGACAGGGCGCGGGCAAGTCCAGGTCTTGGAGGGGCAACGGAGGCGCTGGATCTCCCGCCGCCCTCCTCCTGTCCGCCTTCCGAGCCCTCAGAGGCAGAGGGCCAGCAGCGCTGACGGTTACCTTGCGGCCCTTTCCACCACTTGCCTGGCCGCTGAGGGACGGAGAAACGACAGAGTTCTTGGGAGCCTCCATAACCTCTCCTTCTTCTGTAGAGCTCTCTCGCGGTGCCTGGCAGGGTGGGCAACCGGGTGGCACCCTCTCTTTTGGCATGGCCAATGACTGGGGGTTATGAGAGTTGTAGATCAGCACATCTGGAAAAGGCTGGGCTAATACCACCATGGCGCAGGTGGGCTGATGTGTGCCAAACCCTCAGGGCCACCATGCTTTAAGGTCCAATAAGTGAGAGGAAGGAAGGGCTCTGTGTATTTGCAAAGGCTTTCACGGCCGGGATCTAATGGTTGTTGTGGGTTTTTCGGGCTTCTTGGCTGAAGAAGCCCGAAAAACCCACAACAACCAAGGAATGGCTCTGTTTCCTGCCAGTTATTTCTCACCCTACTTGGGAGGGTGAGCAAATAGCAAGGAGAATCCCCCTTCAATTGCCCAGTCATGCATTACTGCTGCTCAGGGATGGCTCAAGATATTTTGCTGCCAGAGGTACAGCAAAGGACACCCAGCTACTGTATTTCCAGTAAGGTACCTAGACATCAAAGGCAGGCCCTTTTAGAAGAGATAGACTTGTGGGTCAGTGCTACCATAGCGTATCAGGCAAAAGCAAAATAAACATAGACATCAAGAAGAGAGAAATGTTGTGGCACTTGAAAGAGTGACTGCTTTGTGAATTTTCTTGAACAAGTCCACTTTGTCAGACATGAGAGTGGAGCTACAGGGCAAGACTAGTTGCTTGGGAGCATGAGGCACAAAGTCCTGAAAACACTTGCCTCCACCACTGGCAGTAAAAATGCAGTGAGAACAAAAGTCAGTTGGGTGTCCTCTTCTGACAGTCCACATCTGCTGTCTGTGAGGATGCTACTTCACTCTAGTACTAGGGCCAGCTCTTCTGGCACTGGTGGTCTGATTAAGTGGGCAAGAGTGCAAAAGGAGGAAGTAAGACTACAGCAAAATACTCATCTTCCACACTCCTGTATTTTCCAGTAAGGTACATTGTGTGGTGTGGTCAATAGCAGAAGCACTGTGGACATCTCCCTCCATCTACAAGCCCATCCTTCTTATCTTCCAGTGTTCTAATTTTATTTCAGCTGTACTTTGATCTTTTGTCTTTCATAGGTAGTGGATCTCCTCCCATGCATCAGGAGAATGGATGTTGTTACTACTGATTGTGAGGTACAAGATGTACGTCTTTTTTCCTGTTTATGTATAATCTTTTTTCCCTCCCCACCACCATTCCTCCATCAGATTAATAGTATATCCTCCTATACTGTATACTATTGCTCCTACTGCTGGCATGTCCTCCTGTGTAGAATTTACTGATGCTCACTTGCCAGTCCATTATAGAATACTGACCCAAGAGGGGTAAGTTGCTGCAGCAGCACCATGGCATTTGAGCATCCTACTAACTGCCCATCAGAACACCAGAAAAACTTGATTCCTCCCTTCCCTTTTTCTGGAGATATCACCCAAGAGCTGAGGTTAGCATATTGGAGCCTTCAGACTCCAGTTTTAATACTGGGTTTTGTTTTATTGCTATTACAGGGTGAGGGATGGTGTCACCCTGGTCTACCATTTCACAAGGAACTACTAACTGGCGGGCCATACAGTTAACATAATGCTGCCATTGTACCATCTCACTAGCACACCTTTTAAGTTGATCTGGAAAAGATTACATGCGGTCAGGCAAAGTAAATAAAAGTTGCTACCATAAACAGGACCTACACAGAGTGCTACACAATGGGTTCACACCTCCCAGCGCAGCAACATTTTCAATGATTGCCCAAGGAGGTTCAGCCCTTTCCACCCACCATTTCTCGATCAAATTCCTGCACATTAAAAATTCAACCCGCCTGCATCAGCCCTTCCTATGTCTACAATCAAGACAGAACTGGGCGATCTTTCGCCATCAGCTATGCTGGCAGGTCTGGGGATGGTGACCGTCCAGCCACATTGGGAAAGCCACAAGTTGCCCAAATTTGACTTGACTCTGCATTTGCTCTAATCTTATGAAAATTCCCCTTCCCAATGACTGTGTTATCAAGGAGGAAGTCCCCCTTGGTACCCATTTCCTTCCATTTTCACTATTAGCTGAACATTATTTTTGTCAGAACCACAGCAGGGTGGCACACCCACAGTGAGAATGTACTCTCACCAAGACAGGAACACAGATGGAGGCCTGACCATCCTTTTCTGGTAAGGAAGAGAGTGGAGAGGGCTGCTGGTGGTGGTAATCTGAGCTTACAGTGGGTCCGTGCCCCATTAGCCCCAATGCTCCTGTCTCTATGGGTAACAAGAAATGCATGAGGTAAGTATGTACTAGAATACATAGAGAAAAGGGATCCAAAGAAAAATAAATGGAGAATGAAAACAGGAAGGCAGAGGGGTGGGACATTAGAAGGTACAGCTCAGCAGACAGAGTGGTTCATTCCCAAAAGGTTACGTGCAGGCACTAAATGCACTAAACACCCTTTGGCAACTGCCCAAAGCAGCTGCTTGGATGGGCTGATGAGCTGTACGCTTGCTAATGGAGATGAACTGGCCTCACTCCTTAGCACAGCTCCCGAGAGAAGCTGGGAAGGGATGATTGTCAGGTGCTGAAAAGAAGAGTGTGTTGCAGAAAGCAGCAGGAAAAGCAAAGGCAGACCAGCAGGCTCGTCGGTTTGTTCTTCAATCTCTAATGAGCCCCACTGTTAAAAAAAACAAAAAAAAAACACGAAAATCTACCCCTGCTTGGGTAGAAACAGTGTGGCTCCCATTTCCTGGTCACATTCTAATGTTGTAGATTTAGGAGGACTAGCTTTTGCCACCAGGGCCACTTCGATACAGCACAACAATATTCTCAGTGCTTTGCTTTTAAGTTGTTCATTGTCACTGGCTACTACCAGGAAGACTAGGTGGAAGGAGGAAAAGTCCTGAGTTCTGATTAATCTTTCCAGTAATTATACACAACTCCATCTTTATTTTTATGTTCACCGTAGTTCCCCCCCCTCCACCATTTCTTGCATTGAATCTGGGGGCTTAGAGGAAGCACGATGAATGCATATAATTCTAGGTTTGACAAGCAAGACCAGGCCAGAATCAAAGAACCAGGATGCTCAAATGTTTAAGACTGTTTCTCTTTCTAAGGAGTATACTCTAAGTTGTCTACCTGGCTGCACATTGTGGTGCAAGGTAATTATGAACTGGGTGCTCTGAATCAATTGTTTCTTTTGTAATCAAGGTTCCCTCTGCCTCCCTCCGTGCAGCAATCACATTAGATTCTGGTCATGATGGAACCCTGCGCCGGGGGGGCAGAGTCACTCGTGTGTGCAAGGGCAAAGTTGGACACAACAGAGAGGCAGAATCCCGCCCAGTGGAGCTGAAGGTTAGAGGCTACATTGTTTGTACCTGTCGCACACCCCCAGTGTCCCCTGTTTGTTTTCCCACTCACAGGTTCACCTTCGGACACAACTTGTTCTTTTCTCCCTTTTTCGCTGCCACCAGAGGGTATTACCCTCACTGTACCAATTATGAATCTCAGACTATTGCTGCCAAATACAACAAGGCTTATTTATGGTTTGGTCGGTAAATCACAGACGTTAAATCATTGATGTTCTTTTATTAGTCATTCAATAAACACGGATTTAATTACATGTAAGTTTGCTTGTATTCCTTCACTTTAATCAAGGTCTCATATATTCTGACAGTCTGTGTATTTCTTATTGCTTTTAACTCTTTTATATTCTCTAATACACCAACTGTCCAATCTCTTGTCTAAACACTTCACAGTCTTCTCCCTAACGGACTCTCTGTCTCTCCAGTTCTCTTGACTCCGCCCTCCTGTCCTGTCATAGGCTCCTGCACTGGAGCTCTAAAATGACTGACAGGAGTGACATGTGGGCTGTCCGCCACAGTAACATTATTCTTTATGGAAGTGTAAGAGGACACACATTTGCACATATGCACAGCATTTCGACATGAAACTCATCCAACGGGCAATCTGTATGCCGGAGATGTGAAACAACAGACAACAGGAAAATAATTCACCCAAAGAACAAAAATAGCAAGTTGTGCCAGTGGAGATTTGTCATTACAGATACATTAAGGAAGAAATCTTTAATG